ATGGTTAGACCGGAATAATTAAAAGCATTTTCTATTATATTTGATTTTTTGAATTATTGGATTTTAATTAATATATATAGGTATTGTATATATATGTTAAAATCAATTGATAGGTTGATCTATGATCCAAGAGGTTTAACTAAGGTTTCCGGAATTTTGTGGTATTTTTTAATATTTTTTTTAGGAATTTATTTGAATTATTTTTCCTATATTTGTTTGGAAAAAAAAAAATTATATATGTATATTCTGTTATATATATATATATAATGAGGTTCTGTAAGGGGCATAGCAACAAATAGCGAGCAATCCAGTGGGGTGCGGACCATATTAATAAGGTGGGCATGCATATCTCAGCCATAAGATTGGGTTGACCAGAGGAAACAATCTGGTGCGGCTCAGCGTTTGTATGCTATGGTGCGCACGGATCTGGGCCATTGAAGAGGGCAGATTGGTTCAGTGCAGCACACCCGGAGGGATACGGTGCAACCGGCGAATGGGGACGCGCCGCGTCACCAAAGAGAACAGCCAGCGCGCATGGCGCGTCTCAGCGAGTCCCAGCGCGTGCCAGACTGTGTGCACGTGTGTCAACTCCCAGGGGTCTCGTGGGAGCACGTGTGCGTGTGGAAAAGGTGGTAGATGCGCATGAGGATTGTTTGGGCGCGTGTGAGGGTGCGTGGGGAGGTGTTTGGAGTCCCGGAAAGGTCCTGTTAAGTCCGGAGATGTCCCATAATTGGTTTCAAGTTTATTACTGCTGGAATCAACCATAAAATGATGTATTTTTAGGTATTTGAGGGATGTATGATACTACTACGATATTTAGTTGCGTTTAATTGACGTAGTTATAATTAATTAATAAATTGGTTATGGAAGAAAGTGTGTATATATATATATGTGTATATATTTTCTATGTATGCATATATATGAATTAAGTAATATGATTAGTATGGAAGGAGGTATATATATATGTATTGATATATATATCTATTTACCCTATAAAAGTATATTCTAGTTGTATTTTTTATATACACTTTTTGGTAATAATAATATATACTCGATTTTAATATTTTATAAGCATCGTTTCAGTTTCAACCAAGTTGTTGTTTGAAACTACACGACTGTGTTATATTTGGATTTTTAATATACGCTTTTTGATAATAATAATATATACTCGATTTTAATAAGCATCATTTCAGTTTTAATTAAGTTATTGTTTGAAACTACACGACTGTTATAAAACTGTATTATATTTGAATTTTTAATATACACTTTTTGGTAATAATAATATATACTCAATTTCAATATTTTATAAACGTCGTTTCAATTTTAAGTTGTTGTTTGAAACTTCACGACTGTAGAATCCTATTGGTTACAACTTCTATAATGTCTTTTATATTCAGATTTTTCATATATCCGTATATATCTCTTCTATATATCTTATATAAATGATGTCTAAGTTGAACTCATGTTGCAAACTATCTCTCTCTTTCTACGTGTCTATGCAAAAAGTTCTTCTCAAAGGCTTTTTTCTAATGTTCAAACGACAACTTTGAAAAACAGGAGAGTGATGATTCTGTTCATATGCATCAATTACAAGTTGCAAGTCACAGCCTTATTTTTTGGAAGGTATGTTTCTTGTTAATATATATGTATAATATTTATTATTCATTATTTTATTTCTCTTCCAATGTTTTTAATGATGAAATCTGTCTGTCATGTGTTATTAGAATTTTACGTTGTGAGGTTCAGATGATTTATGATAATACACAATACATATTAACATTATCCATCTTAAGAAAATAGATAACGCTATTGAGTCACAGATGAAGATGAGTTTCTCATGACATGAGATCTTGGATTTTTTATTATTTTGTACTATTATTGCGCATAATGTATATCTTAAATTCATATGGCAATTTTTTTTTTTAATTTCTTTTTAAAATTTTAAAGTGCTCACATTATAGAAGGGTTGCAATATCAAAGCACTGGATGTGATGAGGGGCGAGAACTTTAAAGCACTAAAACAAAGAAAAGATTATGTAATGTTTGTTGTTCTATTATTTTAATATTTTTTTTAGTTATTTTATGTAGTAAATCCTATGAGAATAAATTATATAAATATTTTATGAATTATTAATTATATATTTTTATTTGCATTTTAAAATTCATTCTTTTCTGTTTCGAAAGTGACTGGTGAATCATTTCCCTTTCTTTGCCAATCTTAATGATCACTAGCAATGTTGCACAAATTTTTAATATTTTTACACATTTAAACTATTATTATTATTTTTAAAATTTATAGCTTTATTTGGATTTATAAAATTTATATACATTTTAAAGTACCTATAGATCTTTTAATTTAAAAATTATTTATTTGAATTTTTATGCTTTAAGAGTTACCTTTTTAAAATTAGATTTTATAATAATTGGCTGCTAACTAACTGTTATTTAAGAGTTGTCCTTTTAGATTTCTTTTTAATGGTTATTAAAACAATTATTTTAATAAATAATTATTTTCGTGACTTTTCATGTTTAGATTTCTTTCTAATGATTATTAAAGCGTTTATTAATAAATGTGACTTTTCATGTTTTAGATAATATTTCTAGATTTTTTTTTTCATTGGCAGGCATGAACAATTATCCATGAACTTCTTTATTTCTTCAAAGTATTAAAAGGATTTTCTTTGTAATTTCATAAAGTTGATTCTAATATATATATACATAATTTTTTATTTTTGAAGGCAATTTTTTTACACTTTTCTTTTATATGTATAAGTAAACAAACACAAACTCTCTTTATCTCTTTAAAGTTTTTTTAACTAAATTTTGAAGGTTGTTATGATTTCATAAATTTGTTAATAATGTAATATATATATATATATATATATACACACACATAATATTTCATAATGTTTACAAACATTATATTTACGTGCAATGCACGTGATTTTTTCTAGTATATATATATAGATGATTTTGAATAATCAGGGATTATTTTGGAAGGTGTTGTACATATATATATATATAACAATATACGTGTATATGTATATATTATTTAAGATGATTAATTTTGGTATATCTGGATAGGCTGGTTATTATTTAATGATATGCTTATTGTATGCATAAGATGTATATATATGATTTAGCTTATTAATTAAGTTTAAGCTTGGTACATGGTTGAATTATAGGCATGGATGAGTTGCCAAAGGTTTAAATATATTGCCTTATTATTTGTATGAATAAAATACATAAATGGGAAGTATAGATGAATTACTAATTAAAAGTATAAATATATATACTTGAGGAGGTACGGTTGAGTTGTCAATATATAAATAAATATATTTATAATGGCATGGTTGAATTGCCTATGCATAATTATAATACTATATGTTAGGTGGTTAATATAACATCTATGGTTATTGTATGTATAGGTTGGATTAGGATTAGATATTCTTAAATTAGAATAGTCTAATACTTCTTGGTTAGTGTATTATTTTATACATATTAATAAAATAATACTGGTGGAAACATGGATGATTTGTCAAAACTTAAATTTTGGATATGTGATTTAAATAATTAAAATCATTATCGGATTTTGGGATTAAATATAATATTCTTTTTATTATAATTTATTGTTTAAATGAATAAACAACTGACTAGGATAGGATTAAGGTTAAAGGAGTTTCTTTTTAAAAGAAATGGTGGATTGGTTTAGGAATGATTATTATTTTAATCGTTGTTTAATAGGTATAGAAATTTAATAAACCTATTAATGGATGTAGTTAGTATAATATATATAATTCTATATAGATATATATATCGTGCTTTATTAAACTTAAAACTTTATTAGGTTTGGTTTTGATCAAAGATAATCTACTTATTGGTTTTCAAAGGTGTGGTAGAGAGAACTTGCTTGTATGGTTTAACCCACGATTTATTTTTCAGGTTATTAGAGATTCTAGTCTCGAGGTTGAAGATTCGCAGCTGGGAGACTATCATTCAGCTATTCATCTTGTGTACTTTTAAGTAATATTGAATTATTGGATAATGTTTTAAGGGGTCCTGGAGTTACAGGATTTCCAAGTTGTAATTGTTGAAGAATTATTAATTAATATTTATTTATTAGTTTTCTTCAGCGGTTTATTTATTCTTTATTATTTATCTTTGTATTCTGTGCTTGTTTAAATACTTTAATTGTTTTGATATCCCTTGATTTTGTGCACGGATTTGATCAACCAGTGTTCCAAAATCAGGGGGTATCACAATATACCACGTTCATCTCCTTGCGAAGAGGAATGCGTTCGTCTATAGATCCGCATATACGTATATTGATGTTTATACTATGCGTTTATCATGTCTAATTGCAAATAGTAGCTTAAGATGATGCCTTTAGAATTTTCTCGGAAATTAGATGTTAGGGAGCATGTCCCTTGCATTGTTGACACGGGCTATTCTTATGAAGCCAAATAAATATAATACGTGTATGTAGCTAGCATTATTCCTACCGAGTATTGTAACTCACCCCCTTGTTGATTCCCCTTTTAGGTTGAAGCAATGATTTAATGACGATGCTTCTTCTTTACTTGTTTTTAAATGATATATTTGATGTTAATGTATTTTTGTTGCCATTTCATAATATGGTTTGTGATGACTCATTAGCCTATTGTGGACCTATATACACTACAAAAAAAAATGACTTTTTATCACAGTGAAAAAGACTTTCTACCACGGTGTAGAACCGTGGTAGAAAAGTCGTTCTTTCCACCACGGTTACGCACCGTGGTAGAAAGTCTATTTTCTACCACGGTTTCCCACCGTGGTAGAAAGTGTTAAATAATTTTTTTTTTTTTAAATAATAGTTTAGCCCCTATGAAGCATCTTTTTTTTTCTTCCTACTACTAGCCTTACAGCTTCACCGAAAACAAACCCTAAATAAAATAAAAAATAGCATCATAACCAAAATAATTAACAACTAACAATAACATCATATATATATATATAACTAATTCAAAATCATTGTTTTATATAAAATTTAACCATATACAAATTTGAAAGAAGTACATGATCCACACCTTATATATTTACTTAACCAAAATAAAACAAAAATTCTTCATATCTTCTTACAACTTCTTCATGAGCCATACAAAAAATATAGCGGCAATAAAAAAAGTAACGGCAACAGCAACCCGCAATCCTAGCTTTGACCTACCAAGATAGTTGAAGTAAGGGAATTAATGTAAAGCAAGTTATAAAGTTATCAAAATTAAACCAAGCAAAGCAAGCATTATAAAAAAAGTACTTTGAAAGATCTACTCTTCGTATTAACTCAAGCAAAGCAAGTATTAACATAGTCTTAACGCAAGCAAAGCAAGTTCAGTGTGTCAAGGAAATAATCCCAAAGCAAGTATTAACATGATCTTAACTCAAGCAAAGCAAATTCAGTGTCAAGGAAATAATCCCAGTATTAAAGCTTAAGCGTGGCTAATTTAATAGGTACTACAAGAATTATGGGTATTTGTGACAGTCCTTTAGGGACAGTACAAAAAACTGTCACTAAATATACCCTTTTTAGGCACGGTCATTGTTTTACCGTCCCTAAAAGCAAAAACTCAAATTAAAACGCCAAAATTGATTGCGGAAAAATTTAGCACCAGTACCTTATTAAAATGAAATTTTTTTTATAATAAAAATTAAATATAAAATGGGCTTTAGGGACGCTAAATGAACTATCAATAATTCTCTATTCAGAAACGATATAGTTTTGGCCCATTTGTATATATAGATCATAACCCACTGACAACCCTCTACATCTCTCACTTTGTTCTCTCTCTCTCGATGCCCTAGCTTTCTCCTGCCGCCCCCCTCTTTCTTCTCTGAAGTCTGAAGATGATGACCATACCAATGCCGATGGCCTTATATCTCACTCAGTAATCTATGTAAGTAGAAGTACTCAAAGACAAAGTGAATTACCATCATATGATATGTTCAAATCTGGTTTTTTAGTTATAGCTTCAGGTTGTATGTTTTTAGTTATAGCTTCAAGTTGTATGTTTGTTAATATCCATAGATGAGCCATTATTGGTTTTTTAGTTAATAACACGCTCTCTTTCTCTATTTTCGTATCTCCTAAAAACCCTTCTTTGCACCTTTCTAACAAATCAACAAAAATAAACAAAGAAAAATCTCAATCATATGCATATAATATGAATAACAACTAATACATAAAAAAAAATTTAAGTTGTCAACTTGCATTAACTCCTTCAACAACAAATCAACAACTTCTCCTCCACAATAATCAATCACAACCTCCATATACGATGATCCCATACTCCCATGCTTTCAACATTTTAAAACAAGAAATTAAAATGGCCTCCACACGGGCCGATGTACCAATAAGGTAATAAAGTTCAAGATACACCACAAAATTGGTCACTCATGTGACCCCGAGTATGAGTATAAAAAGCATTAAAAATGTGCACTCATAAAAGAATTTGATCGAACATGAAGACCATATAACTTACAAATTTTGATGTACTTGATAGGCCATGCAATTGACGATCCCGTTGTTGTCTTTTCCTAGTCCCTTTGGAAGACTACATTTCAAGTACATGCAAATCAATTAAAAAAAAATATAACACCAAAATACACCCTAAGTGGAGATAGTTAAATGAAAAAACTCAAAAATAAGGGGCATTATAAACAAATACACACAAAATCAAGATCACAAAACATTATTAAAACATCTTTGCATGATCATGTGAGAAGTACACAGAGAATCCATGGAATGAGAAGCCCTTTCAACACCACTGGTTTGGATTGAATTGTAATTGGGAAAGCTTTGAGCTGAAAGAGTTTCAACACCACTGGGGTGGATCATATTTTAATGAATAATTATGCTTTGTGGCTTAGTGTTTTACAGTTTTTAGTTTTTATATTACTAATCATCTAAATTTTGTTTTTATATCCATGAAATAAGGGAAGGGGTGGGCTTCCATCAGGAAAGAGGTAAGGTAAGTCCATAAAATACAAAAGAGAGACAGTATTGATAGAACAAAGAGATAAGTTTTGCACTTCACAAAATGTTATGCTTCATAAATATTTACATATATGACAAGCCAAGGCAAAACTATATAACAAGCTAACACCTTCAAGCATGAACACAAAACATATTCCACCCAAAAATAATTCCATTCATAGAGTTCATGTTCTTCACTTAGCATCAGCACTTCCACCAACTCGGGTGTCATTACCTGAAAATATTAAAGGGTAAAACTCCTCCCAGTAGAGAACGACTAACAGTTATCACCAAAAAGCTTATTGAAAGTGCTAAATCATGAAACTTCTTAATTAAAATGATGATTCCTTGGGTGTTGTACTATTGCCCCTTTCCAAGCATAGTAATATCATTTTATTTTTTGAACCGGTTCTATTTTCTGCACAAAAACAGCACTCGGGAAAAATAGAACCATCTGCATTTTAAATAGAACTGGTTGCACTTCCCTGAACCAAAAAGGAAAGTTTTTATTTTTACCAACTTCCATTACCTTTTAAGTTTGAATTAGAGAGGTTTTAGCACAAAATTCAAGGTATTTTCTAACCCTAATAGGACTCTCTAATTCTCTATATAAACTTACAGTTACATACAATTAATCACGGTTTTTGCGTTAAAGATTTCAAAACCCTATAGAGTCTTTTTGTGTGAGTTTCAGAGTTTTTTACTTCTCTGTTTTTGAGAGCACACACCTATATATCGAATAATTTAGAGAACTCAACAAAATCTGACCTAACGTACCATTATAAAAACTAGACTCATAATGATATATGAATATTAAATCTCCAGAATTCAAATCAAACATTATACTAAAAAAAAGTTCAAAACTGGTCATCTGCTGAAAAAGTGAAGGTCTGTGCCTTAAAAAATACCAAAAATGACAGCTTATAAAGTATTTTCTTGCAAAATGAACTTTACTTATAAATTCAATGTCATAAGGTTTAAATGTTTTTTTCTCAAATTTAAATAAAACTAAATCACGATGAAAGTGGCAGTGTCTGGTACAAAACTGAAGCAGTAAGAACTAAGAATAGCTTGTGAAATTCAGTTTATGTATTAAACCAATTCTAAAAATCACAAAGTTCTGTAGGGACAGTTCTAGGTCCTGCCTCGACTCAACCCAATAAAGGCTTGTCCCAACTATTTTGGACCAGTTAAATGAAGTCTTTTTCCCAATTCTGCCATAAGTTCAATTCTATCTCGTTTAATTGAACAAATTTATTTGGATTTGGATTGATATTTACCACAGTCGTGCATCATCAATCCCAGCGGGTTAAGGATGTCTAATGGATTTTTGCCATTCTTTCATATTTACTAATAATCATACACCAACTCAACAAATTCTTTTTACAACTATTTGGGGTCTGCTAATTAATAATAAAGTAAATTCTCAAAACAATATAACTCTAGAACCATTCACCTCAAATAAATTGATACAAAACATAATATTCCAATAATAAAAGTATAAAAAATGACACTTAAAAAAACTGCAGAGCTACTCAAAGTCAAAGTTTTTAACCGTCTCCAAAGTATGAAAGAAACCAAAACCCAAAACCCCCAAAAGTATATATGTGAAAAAAAAAAAAAATCCCATATTCATGGGAAAACATATTGATTCAAAATTTTCATTTTCATGATACCAAAAAAAAAATAAATAAATAAATAAATAAAAATAATAATTGTTAAAGCACAAAAAAACCTTTTATTGCAAAAAACCCTTTTTGTTTTCCTCAAAATACTTACCAGTATTAGCAATATATATATATATATACCTCATATGCATACGACTGTGAGGAGAAACCCAACTAAAATGCAATAAAGGCTTCAGCAGCACTTGTTGAGCAAAGGAAAACTAATGGGTTAATGAGTTAATTACCTTTTACATACTTGGGTACCAAATGAATGAAACCCTAAAATGCGAATTTTCAATTCATTTTCTTTTCCACATTTTCCCAGCAACCAAACGAGCAAAAACATTCAAGAACAAAAGAGAAACAGCATTCAAAGATTAGACAAGTCCCTAGTCTTACCTTCACGCTTATCCTCCTGCGAAGAGAACTCTTCAATCTCTTCATCGACACTACGACACAACTCCCGCTTCTGGGTGGCCGATGTGGATTCGGTGGTACGACCTCGCCGGAGACGCTTGAGGGTTTGCGGTGGATCTGGAATTTGTGGATCCGGACCCATCGTGGGTGATTCAAAATCATCATCGTCGACGTTATTCAAAATCATATCTGATATGCCGATATGGGTTCTGATTCTTGTAGATTTTGTACTTTGCAGTTGCAGAGACAGAGACAGGCCGAGTTGAGAACGAGAATAGAGACGGAGGCGATTGGGGAGGCTGAAATGATTTGCCCTAAAATATGCCCTAAAATATTGTATGCGGGTGGACTGCACATGTGAGTAAATATATTTTTGTATATAAAATATATATATATATTTTTAAATTTTTTTTCAAGAAACTAGCGAGAATAAAATCGGCGTAGAAGCAGGTGAAACTAAATTCACTTTGTGCCTACACCGTGGTAGAATAAATTAGTATCACGGTTTTTTATTAACCGGGTAGAAAGATCACTTTCTAAAAATTAATAAATTAATAAATGCACTTTTTATACAGTTTTAAAATAACCGTGGTAAAAAGACTGCCTAAATTACATTCAAAATAATTCACTTTCTACCATGATTAATTTATAACCGTGGTAAAAAGACCCACATAAATTACATTAAAAATAATTCACTTTTTACCACGGTTATTTTAAAATCGTGGTAAAATAATATACTTTCTGTCACGGTTTTTTATTAATCGTGGTAGAAAGGGTCTTCTACCACGGTTTTAAAATAACTGTGGTAAAAAATATACTTTCTACCACGATTATTTTTAAACCGTGATAGAAAGAGTCTTCTACCACGATTTTTTTAAAACCGTGGTAAAAAAAGCATGGTAAAAAATTATTTTTCTTGTAGTGATATTATCAAACATTATGATGTCAAATGACCATTTTGACCTTAGCTTTCCCATTTTGAACTCGGTATCGGGTCAGGGTTTTAGGGACCATTGTAGTTAGTGCACCGGATCATAGGATTTGAGGCGTTACACATACATTATGATTTAAATAATAATTAATCTTATTTAAATTCAATTTGAAATATTATGTAGGATACATGAGTTTAGTACCAAATATATTTAATTATTTTATTAAAAAATCAATAAAATGTATTTTTTTTTCTTTTTATAAAATATTATGTCTAATTTTGTGAGGGTACATATGAAAGTTTGCTTTTTATACTTAAGGTATCAGTGAAGATTTAGTAATTTAGTATTTCATGGAAAAAAAAATTCTCATTAGTAGAACTTATTGGTCTTTTAAAAAATATATATATTTAGGACATAGTTGTTTAAATTCTCATTAGTAGAACTCATTGGTCTTTTAAAAAATATATATATTTAGGACATATTTGTTTTTTTAATGAGAAAATAAGACTTCTTGTTATTTTATTTTATTTGTGTAATCTATAACAACACTAGATAAGATTTCACATGTATAATATGTATGTATGTATGTATGTGTATATATAGGTGAAATTCTACCCATGACTTAGAGCTAATCACCAAAAATTTGTTTAGCAAAATTTTTTTGTTGCACAAGTCTTTCAAAATGAAATACATCAAAGATTGTAACTTTGTGGATGCCCCAAATAAATCAAATACCTCATGGGTGTAGAAGAGTATCCCACGACTAAGGAAGTTATTAAGAAAGGCATGGGTTAACGTTTGTAATGACCCGGTCATTTTCCTTCCTTTCCTTTCTTTCAGATTTTCACGGATAGTTTTTTTCCGTTGATCTTTTCCTTTCTGAGTTCGGTTTCTTGCCACTTACTGTCATCTTAAGTGCTCATGGATGGTTTCCGAGACTCTTTCTCTTGGATTGACGACTTCCTTTGAGGATCGAGTCATTTTCACATTTTCACTTTTGTGACATTATTCATTTTTCGTCTTTTTCTCGGTTGTCACTTTGTTGGCATAACCTCACTTTTCGTGTTCGGATCTGATTCCGGTTTTGCATGCATCCACGATATTTAAATTCCATGCTATGTGTATTTTTACTTTTGTAGAAAAGCATGCTAATTGTGTACTTTCTTCCTTAGGGGTGTGGATTCACACTTCTTTGGAATTTTCCTTTCTTTTGGGGTCATTTGTGTAACTACTGTAAAGTAATTATTTTTCGTCTTAGGGACTATTTTGTAATGTAATTTGGAATATTATTTTCAAAAAGGACCTTTTTGTAATTTTTGAAAAGTATGACAAGTGTCACACTCTCATTGGTCCACTTGTTAACATTTGTGTGGAAACGCTTTGATGCCTTGGATGAGAACATGTGGAGGGTGGAGATTTAACCACTTATTGACCTAGGATAGATACACTTGTTGGCTTGGATGGTTGACAAGTGTAGGCTTGGGATTAAGCCTACAATGGATGCTTGGATGAGTGACAAGTGTATGCTCCAAATTAAGTCTTGCAATTACTTTTTGGGCCACTTTGAGATTATAATTTTAAAGAAGGGTTTTTGTGCAATTGACCATAGATGTGCGTGTTGATCACAGTGTAGGATCACCTAGTGAATGGAGGATTTCTAATTCCTCCACTCACACTTTTTCACATTATGTCATCAGCTTCCTCACCACAAACCGTAGCCTCCATGGATGGAGCTTAAAGCCTTAAGCTTTGACCTTGATTTTTGAGAGTCTTCCATTGATTTCCAAGCTTAACCTTGGGAATACTTTTTGTTCCCATCATACTTCTCTTCATAACCCTTGAAATGTTTGCCATCTTATGTTGATTTGCCTTGGATTCTAGAGAGACACTTCTCTAGTGAGGTAGGGGGTGTAATAATTTATTTTCCAAGTTGTTTTACTTGCTCTTGTATAAAATATAAGTTGTATGCATAACTTTTGTTAATTTGAGAAATTTGAGATTTATCATAGCTTGCATATAACTTATTTTAGACTTGGTAAATGGCATGGCCATGAGTTGATCTCTGTTATATATTAAATTGGGAAGATTTAAATAAGGCTTCAAATCTAGAGATTAAATGGATTTAATTTGATTTAAATTCCAGTAAATTGTGTTTGACTTGTATTCCATTTTAGACTTGATATATAGTATGACCATGACTTAGTGCTTGATATATATTAATTTGAGATTATTTGAACAACTTTTGAAATCTAGAGATTTAATTGATTTAAATTAATTAAATTCTACATGATGGTATCTTGCTCACTTTGCACTTTTGATTTGATATATGTAATGACCATGATATGTTGTTTAACATATATTAATTTGAGGCTAATTGGAATTGATTTTAAATCTAGATAATTTAATTATTTTATTTAATTAAATTCTATCTAATTGTTTCATGAATTTAATTTTGTAGTAGAAGTTGTTTCTATATATAAATCATGGGTTTGGACTGGTTGTGTATTCACATAGTTGTGTTTTGAGTATTGGATAACATTGTTGTTATATTTATATTCATGAGAATATGTTTTCTTCATGGAATATATTGTTACCTTGTGTAATGAATTGGACACTTTGTAATTGACATTATATATGCCATTTTAGAAATTAAACTCTAAGGCATGGATTATGTGGTTTCAACCTACTTGTGCATGGAAGGTGTTTTCGTGCATTATATAAATTATGTATAAGTTGTGAACTTATTTGGTTTATTTTGGAGTCTTGGGACATTGTTGTTATAAGTGATATGGCTAGAATTTGGCTCTAGTGCGGAAGGTATGAGTTCTCCCCAATTAAGATAGTACGCACTGGGGGTGGTATGACTCGCGGGTTAGTGCTCGGAATAACCATTGAGGTCTCGGCAGAATTCCGAGCTTAGATGTCCAAGTCTTCCACTATTTGGTTTCCCGTTCAATTCTAAGTTAACAATCATGTTTATTTGTGACTTGTGATTTTGGTTATTGGCGATTTTGATGTTGTTAAGTACATCAGAGCTTTATGATTTTAACGAATCATTTTAAATTTCGATGTTGTTAAGCACATCTGTGCTTTATGATTTTAATGAATCATTGTAAATTTTAATGTTGTTAAGTACATCTATGCTATATTGTTCAAATACAACTTAGGAATGATCCTATAGATTCATTTGGAACATAGACGTTATATGGCATGACCCACTTTTGTCGTTTTCATATTTTAGGTTTCAAGTTGATAACCTTTAGAATCTATATCTTGTTGCTTTGTATCGTATGTCCTTATGTTGTTTAGAATTGCATGAAGGGTGTAAATTGTGCTAGAAATGAGCTAAGGTAGCTTAGGATGCTCTCTGAGTCTCACATTCGACATAGATGTTAGGTGGCATAATCCTCTTGAACTGTTTCATGTTAGTCTAAAAATCTCTAAAGAAATCGAGTTTACGCATGCTCATTCTCTACGAGTAAACTTGTTTACTCACCCCGAAGTTAGTAGGGGGCTATTTCAGGTACGAAGACTTGGTGTGTGATGTTCATCATTACTTGGATGATAGTTGACTTGAAGGCTTTAGTTCTTGTAAAGGTTGGCTTGAAATGCCATTTGTACCCTTAATTGTCAAAATGTGTATTTTTGATTCGATATATGTAGTGTGTACATGAGTACACTCTTTACAATGTATTTGACATGTATGAGATGAGGCCGGAGGCCAATGACATGTATTTTGTATCCTATGTAATTTATGACTTCATGAAATATTATGAAATTATTGAAAAATGTTGAGTTATTATTTCACCATGTTTGCATCGGGTGTGGAAATTTCATTTTGATTCTTCCGTAGGATCTCATTAGTCATGTATGAAGTGTGGCCAAGGGCAAAACGGTCATTTGATGTCATTCGTTAATTTTGGATTTCAAAAATTCAATTTCAAGTTCACTTTCACTTTTTGGCCGTTGGGGGGGGGGGGTCAGATTTTGACTCGACCATTTCCGGGAGCCACGGACCATTTCCACGCGCTCAAAATCACTATTTACTTTTTCGTGCATGTCGTTTTCATGAAAAATCCTTTCGTTTGTATTTTGTGCCTCCTATGGACTCATTTCACCCATTTGTTGAAAAATCTTGCTTAAGGGCATTTTGGGGATTTCTTTTTAGGAAATAAATTCCGTTCTCGACTTCGTCACATAGAAAATGTGATTTTAGGAGGAGTTTCTTCTTCATATTTTTCTAAAAAATGTTATCTTGACCTTAAAAACTGCGCTCCAAGTTCAATTTTCTGCTAAAAACACTGTTTCTGCATTTTTTGAGGTTCCAGCCCACGCCACAGCCGTCTTTGGCAGGCCGCCGCAGCTTTTGGGCGGGTGCTCGTGGGTTTCTACCACAATTGGTGGGCCCCCGCA